GCTTGATCCGTGTGATCCGAAGATGTCAGATAGCTTTATGTCTGAACCTGTCTGAGTATCACGGGACGGCGGGTGCATTACATTGAAAGGTGTTGATGAATGCCCATATCGAGCAACAAAGAAAGAAGACGGCTACGGTCAAGGCCGGTAAATAGATACTTCAGGAATAAGCGCGAATCTCGATACTCCACAGATAGCGGTAAGTTGGAGTACACATCGTGGGGAGCTAGCTGTACCAGCATAAGCGTACGTACTACTATGGAAGAGATCCACGCTGCTCATGCAGCTTGAGAGCATTGATCAATGCCCATTGAAACCTTGTGATGAAGGCAACGAGTGCAATGAGAGAATCTTTGTCTTGTTGATATTGGTGAATGACACATGGTGTGTGACTCTGTTGAGGAAGCTTGAAGAGGACGAAGGAAGTCTTCACAGGAAGTGTAGGCGACTCGAGTAGGAGAGGGTAGATTCAAAAGTGTTGATTCATCGGAGTTTATTCTACTTGCACCCTGATGTATGTGCTTTCCACATATAAATCATGTAGGTCTTTCAATCAAGCTGCTCGTATCATGAACTCGGATGTCATTACCGTAAAAACGATGCCGTAAATACTACGCTTCAAGTTTGGATTGAAAGAGTAGCCATCAATACTACAAGAAGCTGCTCACGTAATCTCAACGAAGTTGGTGTGGCACGTTGTGATCAGAAACATCGCTGGCTTTCGCTCACCCACTGGCGCATGAGGGTGCATCGAATGTACCTGTTCTTCATTCTCAAATTAGCCTGAGTGGCGTGGATGCCCTTCGAGATTATTTACGGCGATTGGCAGAAGGCAGGAAGGATGGCGCAATCCCCTTGATACGTTGAAGGAAGAATGAACAGTGATTAAAAAAGCAGATCGTACTCTGCTCACGCGGCTACGATGTCCACCTCCAATCATTAGTGCATCCAATCGAACTGCTCGTCAAATGTTCAATTCGTCCAATCAGCTGAGGCGTAGTTACCGCTCAAAAATGATGCCGTCAACTTGCAGTTCGGATAGAGCGAGCTCGACTACGCCGCACGGTTTGAAGCAGGTAGCTCTATATAACATGAGACAGATATTCGGTACAAACGAATGGGTGGATGACAAGTTTAGAAACATTGCAACAAACTCTCCAACGCCGCTGCCAAGATGAATAGCATGGACACCGAAATGGAGAAAGACGTGGCGATCTGCTTGATCCGTGTGATCCGAAGATGTCAGATAGCTTTATGTTGAACCTGTCTGAGTATCACGGGACGGCGGGTGCATTACATTGAAAGGTGTTGATGAATGCCCATATCGAGCAACAAAGAAAGAAGACGGCTACGGTCAAGGCCGGTAAATAGATACTTCAGGAATAAGCGCGAATCTCGATACTCCACAGATAGCGGTAAGTTGGAGTACACATCGTGGGGAGCTAGCTGTACCAGCATAAGCGTACGTACTACTATGGAAGAGATCCACGCTGCTCGTGCAGCTTGAGAGCATTGATCAATGCCCACTGAAACCTTGTGATGAAGGCAACGAGTGCAATGAGAGAATCTTTGTCTTGTTGATATTGGTGAATGACACATGGTGTGTGACTCTGTTGAGGAAGCTTGAAGAGGACGAAGGAAGTCTTCACAGGAAGTGTAGGCGACTCGAGTAGGAGAGGGTAGATTCAAAAGTGTTGATTCATCGGAGTTTATTCTACTTGCACCCTGATGTATGTGCTTTCCACATATAAATCATGTAGGTCTTTCAATCAAGCTGCTCGTATCATAAACTCGGATGTCATTACCGTAAAAACGATGCCGTAAATACTACGCTTCAAGTTTGGATTGAAAGAGAAGCCATCAATACTACAAGAAGCTGCTCACGTAATCTCAACGAAGTTGGTGTGGCACGTTGTGATCAGAAACATCGCTGGCTTTCGCTCACCCACTGGCGCATGAGGGTGCATCGAATGTACCTGTTCTTCATTCTCAAATTAGCCTGAGTGGCGTGGATGCACTTCGAGATTATTTACGGCGATTGGCAGCAGGCAGGAAGGATGGCGCAATCCCTTTGATACGTTGAAGGAAGAATGAACAGTGAGTAAAAAAGCAGATCGTACTCTGCTCACGCGGCTACGATGTCCACCTCCAATCATTAGTGCATCCAATCGTACTGCTCGTCAAATGTTCAATTCGTCCAATCAGCTGAGGCGTAGTTACCGCTCAAAAATGATGCCGTCAACCTGCAGTTCGGATAGAGAGAGCTCGACTACCCCTCACGGTTTGAAGCAGATAGCTCTATAAAACATGAGACAGATATTCGGTACGAATGAATGGGTGGATGACAAGTGTAGAAACATTGCAACAAACTCTCCGACGCCGCTGCCAAGATGAATAGCATGGACACTGAAATGGAGAAAGACGTGGCGATCTGCTTGATCCGTGTGATCCGAAGATTTCAGATAGCTTTATTCTGAACCTGTCTGAGTATCACGGGACGGCGGGTGCATTACATTGAAAGGTGTTGATGAATGCCCATATCGAGCAACAAAGAAAGAAGACGGCTACGGTCAAGGCCGGTAAATAGATACTTCAGGAATAAGCGCGAATCTCGATACTCCACAGATAGCGGTAAGTTGGAGTACACATCGTGGGGAGCTAGCTGTACCAGCATAAGCGTACGTACTACTATGGAAGAGATCCACGCTGCTCGTGCAGCTTGAGAGCATTGATCAATGCCCATTGAAACCTTGTGATGAAGGCAACGAATGCAATGAGAGAATCTTTGTCTTGTTGATATTGGTGAATGACACATGGTGTGTGACTCTGTTGAGGAAGCTTGAAGAGGACGAAGGAAGTCTTCACAGGAAGTGTAGGCGACTCGAGTAGGAGAGGGTAGATTCAAAAGTGTTGATTCATCGGAGTTTATTCTACTTGCACCCTGATGTATGTGCTTTCCACATATAAATCATGTAGGTCTTTCAATCAAGCTGCTCGTATCATGAACTCGGATGTCATTACCGTAAAAACGATGCCGTAAATACTACGCTTCAAGTTTGGATTGAAAGAGTAGCCATCAATACTACAAGAAGCTGCTCACGTAATCTCAACGAAGTTGGTGTGGCACGTTGTGATCAGAAACATCGCTGGCTTTCGCTCACCCACTGGCGCATGAGGGTGCATCGAATGTACCTGTTCTTCATTCTCAAATTAGCCTGAGTGGCGTGGATGCCCTTCGAGATTATTTACGGCGATTGGCAGAAGGCAGGAAGGATGGCGCAATCCCTTGATACGTTGAAGGAAGAATGAACAGTGATTAAAAAAGCAGATCGTACTCTGCTCACGCGGCTACGATGTCCACCTCCAATCATTAGTGCATCCAATCGAACTGCTCGTCAAATGTTCATACGATTGTCATGTTTTGTTGCCACAAATCAGTCTGAAAAGGTCTCATGGTGACCTCGAAAACGTATTCAAAAAGAAAACTAAATCGCGACCTTATGCAAAAAAGATGATGGTATGTTCGATAGAGTTTGTGCATCGTATCGACTGTACGACGCCAATAAACTATTAATGACAAATGTAGACACTTCTCATGTTACTAATTGGTCTCAAGAGGTGTTGGTTTTAGCGATACCTCGCGCACAAAATGATCGAACAGGGTGCAAATAGGCACTCGCATCTGTACGTTTTGCATTGTGCGAGTCTAACATCGTCTTGTATAAGCAATTATCAGCTGCACTGCATCGTACTTGTTCTGCTCGCACGGAAGATTATGAATTCGAAACCACGATCAGAAGATTTTTTCGATAGAGCCACCACCTTGAGACGCTTTTAGTTGATCTGACACTTCGGGCATATAAAATAGGTGCACGAGGAGCTTCGGAGCATGTTTGCGATGTCCGTAAAACTTTCCCACGGTTGTGGTTTACGACGTTTCCTCAACACAAGTTAAGACCAGTCATCATCGGGGCCAAAAACCTTGGTGGCTTAGTACAAACAATAAATTTGACAAAAGATTCCGCAAGTGGTTGTCATTTTCGCTTAACATTGAACGGCTTTTCCTTACCTGACAGATCTATTCTCCAAGCACGGATAATCTAAAAATAATTGGGAAGCTAGGCTAATATCAATGGCGTCGTACAAGTTGTAGCGTAATATCGGCTGAAGACTAATGTGCTCGATGTTCAAGGCTGTGATCGGATAATTATGCATCACATTTTCGTCCAATCCGTCGTTTCTAGCTTCGGCAAATGACCGACGTGATAACATCTTGTTGATGAGTGGATTGGCATGGTAAGATGTTCATTGCTCATGTTTGGCGCGACAACCGATACAAGCGTCTGTCGTATGGTACTACTGATGTTTGACCTGGAAGGAGATGGTTCCGTCATCATAAATGTCAAAAATGAAGTCAATACTTCAGCCACGTATTTAGCTGTCGATGTTGTGATCTTCGGCTTTTAGCGCGAACATCGTTGTGTCACCTTCCACACGTAGCTACTTCCACAAGTGTAATTTGCAAATGTGTTCGCCAGTCTGCTAGAACTGATCCATCGTACTATCCACCCGTGCATTACAGGCGGACTTTTTGACTCGATTCGCCGTATCACCTTGTACATTTCAGACTGTGCTTGTCTACCTTTCGCAAATCGAAAAGCATATTGTTGAGAATCGGCGAGGTCTACTAGACGTTCGCAGAAGTACGTACTTAAAGCTTTGTGTGCAGCACAGCTTCGTCCTTGTTTCCAAATCAACGTTCTTAAGCTTGTGAATTGTTCGTTGATGCGACTACAGGTCGGATGCAAGCAGTCTGTAGCATGTATGCAATGTCACATAAGTACCAAGAGAATGTTCAAATTGCCTGCATCAAACCGCTTACCATCAAGCAACGCTTACGAGTAACGAATGGTATGCACCGAGATGTACCAGGGATCACATGAGAACGAATGTCAATATATTAAACGGCACAAGAAGGGAGACGACATGTGTCCAAAGAATCAACGCGTTTGATAGAAGAGACGGTCCGAAAGTTCTGTGAGCACGACATCGTGACCACTACTGCTAGTAACCGATAAGCGGGTGACGTCAAGTGTTTTCCACCGTTTCAAGCGCACATCACGTCGAGCAAACGTCAGTGGACTGTAGTACTTTGCTTGATGCATGCACAGAATGCATACACTACATTTTTTCGTGATGACCTGTCCCTTTTCAATGTCAACGACGATGTTTCGGACGATTTGACATGTGCTGCAAATGGCTTTGCGACAAACAAGACACCGTCGGAAGCTGCCACTGTTTTTTGGCCCTCCAAACGCGTTCTTGCATCGTCCGATGCATGCATCCATCGGTGGAACTGCTGACCCATTTTCTGTCCTGCCGGTATCGTAGATCATCCACGCGAGCTTCTTGGAATACGCGGCGTCGCTCGTCATCGCAATGCCCAAGACGCAATTTACCAACACTGGGAACGCTGCAAACTCGGGTACGATGCCCATGGGCGCAGCGAACCCTTTCATGTACAACTCGACTTTCCCGTTCGGTAACTCCGTCTTCAGCCAGCAGAGCGAGCACTTTGCTCGAATATTCGTATCGTCACCTGCAGAGTCTGCGAAATTTACGGAATGAGAAACGTAGTACGTCATCCGTTCTCCATGCTTAGTTGTAGTCATTCCCATGGAAACGACGACACAGACACCCCGTTTTTTCGCTAAAGGAAGGGATACGCCCAAAGTGCATCGAGCGACGCCGCAGAACCGAAAAGGGTTGGCTTCGGTCGGCCCAGCAATGGTAGCGAGCCAGTGGAATTCCTTTGCCGTGTCATTTAAATACATACTTCGGATCTTCACGGCGTCGTCACTATCGACAAAGCAGCCGTACATCTCGTCGTCCAAGGTTCCCTGTAGCATGCCGACGATCTTCACGGAAGGTGCCGATCGGCACGGAATGAGTTGCAAACTTCCATCCATCGATCGAATCGAGGGGTACGTGGGCCTCGAACCCGATCGTTCGCGGTAGACGATCAGGTTGTCGCGATGTCCCACATCTTTCCACGTTCGTGGATCGACCACCCGCTTTTCGATAAATCGAAACCGGTCGTAAGACGCGACCGTGTCTGCTACCACTTGATTTGCCAAGTCTTCGAGGCGCTGCGCTTCCACCGGCAAGAGGTACAGATAATCCTCCGAGGCGTTGGTGCATCTTTCCACCCGAATCGACAGGGCTCGAGTGTTCATCCGATCGTTAAGAAATCGTTTGTGGGATTGACAGTAGAACGAAAAGTGAACGACTGCTGGTGTCTGTCCATCAAGAGACACAAGCGGTCTTATAAGAATTCGGATACGATAGCATGCCTAAGGTACTTGCGCCTAACGTCGCTTACGACTACGTGGCCCATTCGGCTTCTATGTAAAGACCCGTATTAACTTTCTGGACAGCGAACTGCTTGGTCCTATTGAAGTTACTGCTGACCGGGTGAGCTCACCTCATTGTCACGCTCACCCTCTACAGCTTTCGCCTGTCGAGGCTGGTTGTTAGCTTTCTGTATGTAATGAAGTTGCAGGCATATCACGCACAGACACGGTCATTTCTGCCCTTTTCGACGTCTTGTGGTGAGTGGATTATCACGGAGTTCGGTCGTTACAACTGTTGCACACCTCCACGCTGCCTTCACAAGGTCGAAGTCGTCTATGATCCATCGAGTAAGTACCGGGCAGTGTGTTACACGGACCTTGAAACAACGCTACGAACGACCGCTCCCACTGGTGTCAGTAGTGTCCAGTCGCACTTCAATCAATGTCAAAGCTCGCCCTTTGAGCAAAATGTACTCAGACGTCTCACATCTTGGTGCTTGATACATTTCTGCTCGCACTGTGGCCGGTTTCTTTGGCCACAAGTATCATGCATTGGAAGCAAAGCAGCGCCGTGTTTGTTGAATGCCGCGCCCCAGCTCCACGTCCACGGTCTTAAAGCACAAGAATATTACTGGCCAACGGTACGGAGTGGCCCCTGACGGCAGCAATGTGCGCTCGGCGAAAGATTAACGCAATCTCGTCGAGGGCACTACCAGTTTAGTACCAATACTCAATCGTACGTAAGAACTGAGAAAAGTCCTGCCTGGTTAACTAGGACATTCTGTTGTCACACGTCTCCGAGTGAGGTCTTTCTGCACAGCCGACGACGTGTAAGCTCACTCATCTTGACACATCCGTTCGACTCGGTCGGTTTCAAGATACATCGATGATTGCGTTTCGACGAAGACGACTCGGTATTTGGAATATGAAGTCGGCAAAGGAGAGTTAACTCATAAGGATCTGGCACAGCGTCTCCGCCATGCCCATATCTGAAGGTCCGCTGACACGGCGGCCTCTACGTGATCACCTGGCACGATATTGGAGGTTTGAAGTGCCCACATCAGATCAAGGTTTGGTGTTGCGTGCCTGGACGACGGTACCACCCAGCTAGTCTTTTACATGAAGCGAGCAGCTAGTGGGATGGCCACGAGTGGGTTTGTCGTACCACATAAGTTATCCGACTGCCTCAATTGCCTAGGATCCCAGGGAACAGGGCTCATACTGGCTTCTGGAGTCAATTTTATCGGGAAGACAACTCTTGGATCCTGGTCCCCGAGGCCAGCTCTCGAGTGCGCGAAATTCCCCAGACCCCACCTTGTCAAATACATGGCCTCGACATTCCCAGACCTCGAGAGTTGTCTTTTACGATTCCGTCTCTCAGCGATGATTGTCCAAGACAGATGCATCACAAACGACATCATGGGGCAACTACGATATATTCTCGCTTCCCCGATATTGCAATCAAGGCCAAATTGACAGAGCCGGATATGGTCCTACGGTACCCACGTCCGCGTTGGCGAGTCTATGGTAGACACAAATCAACGACACTGAAGTTGCCCATGAACATGCCAAGACCTCGCCTTACCAGAGGCATCCCCCATTCCGGCTTTCGCTGGATGACGACGGTCTTTACAGTTTTGTGTAGAGCGACACACCGGCCCTGAGGTTTCTATTGCGAGCGAATCCACCTTCTCGCGTCACTAGATCTCACGTGGGCTACTTTTTTTGCTGGCCTATCCGCATCTCAATCGGTTCCCTTGAAGGGACCGAAGACAGTGTTCATAGCATGGTTTAAACTGTGCTCTACGGTAGAAATTTCTTCTTTATAAACGGCATCACTGCTGCTTGGCTTACCATTTGATGGTACAGCGCTTTAAACGACAGACGCTGTTGGTCATTGGCTTGCAGCGGTAGCGCATCAACGCCCTACCCAGGTCTAGAAACACGCAAATCGTATTACTGAGTTTCAAGTTTGGACCTCCCAAATTGGATCGCGACTAACTAGCTAACACTATACCGGCTGCTTCGTAGACAATGGCGTCGGTACACTCAAGCACTGTTAGGGGTGTGAAGAGTCAGCGACTCATATATTCTGGAGTTGCCGAACTCTGGGAGCATGTCGAAGCTAACTCCTCCCCCACTGGACTGGAGAGGGGGTCGGACGATTCAATGTGTCGAATCATTTCCTCACCGGTCATCATCAGGCTCTCCCCACCTCAACGTGTCCGACAACTTTTATTTACGAGTTCCAGGATGGCAACACCACTGCGACGCATCTGGTTCGTCTCGTGTTTCGTTTGATATTACATCTTTGGGTGAAGCGAAACGCGGCGGAATATTCAGGGCGAGACATCTTCTTCAGCCGGGAGTGCGTGACCATTCTAGGAAACTGAAATGCGGTATCTGAAGGCAATCGCCCAACGCATACATCGATCTGTAGGAACTGCCTGCCGGCAGTGCGGCTCGTCTTCACGTCTATCTCGAATCGTTTTTCCAAGAGCCACAAGACACTCTGCCTCACAGGCAGTCAGTCAGCCATTACGACAGCGACCCCCTCGGCGCGCGTATGTTAATTTGAGCAGGACGTTTTAGACATCTTGCTCATGTTGAAGTGTAAATAGATGACCATAGTACTCCTACGCCTTAACGGATGATCTCTGATTGCTGTATCGCTTCTGATATGCTGTAAGCAAGAGCTGAGGAGGACAGAATAGGTGATATTCGTGCCTGTCATTTGTGCATCATCAATTTTTACCAGCTAACGGGTGCTAAAACAACAAATGCTTGTTTCGACAAATTTGATACATTTGATTTCCCGAACTTTGCTGCAACAACAAACAGGCAGGCAGCTAAATGTTGCTGTCGCACGATACAGTTTGCAGGATCATCGTTGATGATGAAAGATCCGTATATGATTCAATAATGTAGGCAGACATATTCGACTTGTACAAACACCTTTGTATGTTGAACAACAAAGATGGGAGGCAATCCGCCGAAGATACGTGAAGCTTCGCTTGCTAATGCTTCATTGGCACGAGCAGCACTTTGTTCCAAAATACAGAAATTACCGCCTGAAGAACTTAACGTCGGTGCCATACATGCGAAGTTTACCTGCAGTTCAATCCCGTATTGACAAAGCAGGTTTGCAGAGCTGGCGATGATTCCAAACTGAAGAGGCGCCATCAGGCAATGGGACCAAGAATTGAAATCGACCGTTGCAACAAATTGGCTCAGTATCATCAGACTACTCCCTCAAAAATGCTGAAGCTTGGTATGAGCTTGCCCTTACATTTGTCTGAAGGGTCTCCCCGTCCTAGCACACACGCACCTCGTTGTAAGCTTCAAATTCACCTGAGCGAGCCAAGCATAATGCCTCAACCTGCAACATCGAATGTCCACGAGCGTTGCGAGCTATAAACCCGACTGCAATCAGCTCATCGCCCTTTCGAATAAGACCAGCCACCGTTGCAAACATCGATATGGAGAAGCCCAGAGTTTCACGCTGTAAAAATAGCTGCAGTGGTCGTTCGCATCGACTGCTAGCCAAGGCGAGAGAAACGAATGCTGAGCCAGTACTGAACCGACGAATGCGCGTAATTATACCAGTGGCTTGCGCATAAACCTTTCGAGATCCATCGAAAGTATCCAAAGCTTCGGCAACTGCTCGCTCTTGGTCCAAAGCTGCTTTCATACGTGCGTCTGGGCTGTCTATAGTAATTAACCTGTCAGCCAGCTCAAACTTTCGAGTAGAGAGCTTTCGCTTCAGCTCCAACCATGTCTCCAAAGCGACATCCCGGGTGTTTGTACTTTCACTGCTCGTCTCCGTTATTGAGGATTGCACCTTTGCCGACAGTGCATGCCGCTTGAAGCAGCAAAACATGTAGAGAGGTGTTCCTTCGCTTGGCTCCTTCATCGCGAGCGACTGTGTATCATAATCGTGGGCTAGAAATTCCCTTTTGTACCAACGCTTGCGCGGTGTGAGGCAAATAAGCGACGGACCCGTATTGTTGTCGGCAACACTACTACAAGCTGCCAGGAATTGATCTAGTGTGCGATACACGCGGCGGAAAAATGTCGGGTTCTTCTTTGAACGACCACGGAAACCTCGGAAGACGAAGCCTGCATCAAAAATGCATGTTAGACGCGGCGCGGGAAGTCCTGCATCGTTAAAGGACACGGTGGTCATTTCTTCTTTCTCACTGCTGCTTTTTTGGTCGAAATGCAGAGCAAAATAGGACTCCAGTGTGAAGGAGCCGCAAAGGTCCTGCTGAAGTCTTTCTTCATCTCGCTTTTCTTTATTTCCGGGGTCGCTGTCTGGATTAATGGTGCACTTGTAGAGGTCCAAGCTCAAAGTTTTCAAGCCGCGTCGGCCGTCGTCGATAACACGAAATGACTTCTCTTCTGATAGCGATATCGTATAAACGTTCGTGTATCCGTTGCGTAGCAGTGATCGCACTGCCGCACGCCGAGGGTGCCAACAAAGCACAAGCACACCATCATACTTTCTCAGGTGTGACGTGATAGCGGAATGTGAACTGCCCTCAGCTACTCGCCCCTCTGACAAGTACGTTTCTTGGCTCATCGATCGAGGGTCGCAAGCTAGCTCTGACAGTGTATCGCTGATAAAATCGAGCACTCCATCGTGCTCTTGTAGCATAATCTTTGCTTGCTCCTCCGCACTCTCATTTATAGCTGTGCTAACGCCAGATCCATCGTCACTGGCAGCCGCAAGTTCCTTGCGAATACAGCCTTTCATAACACCCGAAAAAAGCTGCAAATGAGCACGAGAAGCTTCACCATTCTGGCAACCTAAAGCAGAAACGTCTCCAACCCACAAGCGGATCTATGCAAAGCACAAAAGTATCAGCCACGACATCTACAAAAACATACCGAAAGAAGAGGTAGCAACGAACCTCGCGGTGATTCGAAAGCACACTGAAGTCATCGTACACAAGGTCCGGGCCGCGCCCGAAGAGCGACTCTTGTTGGCCGTACCAGTTGCAGCACGGCAGCGTCACCACACCACAGATTTGTTCAGCTTGTATTGCACTCAGAGCTTGGTCTAGCGTCACGTGAGCGTGCACCAGCACCACTATTGCTCTTCGTAACGTGATCCGCACCTTTTCGATTTTGTTTCGGATCACCACGAGGTTTGATATCTCTGTCCACCTCTTCGATCGCTTTATTATGCAAAGCAACCACATATCGCAATCCCTTTATCAGCCTCGATATCTTCGACAAACATAGAAGTCCTCCCTACCACACCTCGCTCGTCTCCTTTTCCATTGCAGGATCCACACTGTAACTTGTCCATCCTCGCATCCGAAATGCAAACATTGCAGCTGTACGTGCTAGTTACAGCGAATAAAAATAGATGAAATGCCTCAGCCATCTCCTACCGTGCTCCACTTCAACAAGTCGTATACAATAAAAAAGGAGCGAACACGTGTACTCACGAGTGTTTCCATCACCAACGACTACGATTCCATCCTGCTTGCCTTCTTTCTTGGTGTTTGGGCATTCTCCACTAGCTCTTGGATTAATATACCGCCGGACAGTGTTGAATAGAGCCATGCTCTAAAAATTAGTCATTTCAAACATTAATGGGTTTTGCATGACATTTCGTACAATCAAGCGATAAACACGATATTGTAATACTTCAATAATTTGTAACTTACTTCGGTAATTTCTTTTGCGTCTGGGAACAATCCGTATTGCAATAAAGCAGGGGCACAGTGCAATTTGCCCACAAACTCATTGAGATAACGAAGCGAAACGGAAGGCGTCGCGCTCGAAAAATTTTCGGCAATCTTAGGTGCATTAGACAAAGTGGAGGAAGAATTTGCAGAGCTATTGGAAGCCTCGCTGAGACGGCAGAGTTGCCATCGCGAGACGTGTGGAGTTGATGCCATCGTGGCCACTAAAAAGAAGAGCGTTTATGTAATAAAGGACTGGTTTCTAATTTAGGTCTGACAATAATTGCACCTTTCTAAACCATGTCCACAAAAAATTGTGTGTGTTGAAAATTATCGCAATTTATCACCAATAATCGTACTACAACACGTCTTATCACAATTCGACACTCAAAATATTTTGAGTACACAATCTCACTGATAGCTCGCGAAAGCGTACACGCCAATGCCTCAACGTCGTTGCATACATTCACAACAATGACACGTTGGGTGATACCGTTCCTATCACTTCATAATTACGAGAAGCGTATACCGACCGGTAATGTCTCTAATATTGTAAACACTTTCGCCCCACTTGACCCTCCCGATGGATGCCCTCTCACTTTTATTTGGATTTGGCAGTGTCAATCCCCCCCTCTAGTACGAAAGCTGCCACCGCATGTGAGGCACGCAAATATTGTTGATTTAGTCGTCGCCTATCTGAAAACCCCTTCCCAGCTCGCTCAAGTCTCTGAGAGCAAAATAATCGCAAATGCATCAGGAGTGCCCAACAAAGTAAACTTATTTTCCAGTGCATTTCTGTTACTCCCACCGGTGCATCGATATTTCATTGAGCTTTCTAACGAATGCTCTTATGGTCCGAGATACTGCAGAACCAGCTTCTTACTGTAAAAGCCCATGATATGTAGAACGCAAATTCATTCTGTCAAAGCTAAGGTTGCACACATATTGTTTACAGCCAGCATTAGATGTTTGCTTCATCTCGGAAATCGCACATGGCCTCGGTGGCGTTACTCAAGCTTTGTATAAACGAAAGCGTATGTGCTATAATATCTTTTAATTTGTATTGCCATCCAACAGGCTTTGGCGGTGGGGGCAACGCGGCTAGCAATGCCATTTGTGCCTGAAAATTGAATTGTCACGACGGCTAGCATCGTCGCTGAAAAGCGAAAGGATCTAAACACTACTTTGACCGCTGCCTCAGTAGTGCCTCTGCATGTACCAAGGTGAGCATGTTG